CAAGGCCAGGCCTGATGTTCTTATTCATTTTGGGTCTGCACCACATGCGTTACCAGTACGTTTCTGCAGGATGTTATTGCGTGCAGCTATTTTGTGCTTCATGCTTGCACAGTGTTTTGTAAACGTTAGTGTTCGATCTAAGGTGAGACCGAGATATTTAAGGTGGGAACAGTGTTTGAGCTCTTGGCCTTCCCAGGTGACTTTCAGTTTCATGTTGGCTTCATGATTATGTAGGTGGAAAGCACACGCTTGGATCTTGGCAGGGTTAGGCTTCAGGTGGTTATCTTTGTACTAGCTGGAGAGATCTTTCAAGGCATTAGGATATATACACTAGCTGTCCCCTGCCACACATTGCTGTGGCCCAGTCTGTGTATATGTGTTTGTGTGTGTATATGTGTGTATATATTTGTATATATGTGTGTGTGTGTGTATATATATACACACACACACACACACACACCAGCCGTCCCCTGCCACGCGTTGCTGTGGCCCAGTCTGTGTATATGTGTATATGTGTGTGTGTATGTGTGTGTGTGTGTGTGTGTGTGTGTGTGTGTGTGTGTATATATATATATATATATATATATATATATATATATATATCTCACACATACATACACACACACACACACACACACTAGCCATCCCCTGCCACACATTGCTGTGGCCCACTGGTGGTCATGGGGGTTCTGTGTGGGATGTTTGGTCCAATTTTATCATTGGTGGGGTTCAGGATGCTCTGTGATTGTAGGTGAACTATAAATCCCAGCAACTACAACTCCCAAATGCCAAGGTCTATTTTCTGCAAACTCCACCAGTGTTCACATTTGGGCATACGGAGTATTCGTGTAGAGTTTGGTCCAGATCCATCATTGTTTGAGTCCACAGTGATCTCTGGATGTAGGTGAACTACAACTCCAAAACCAAAGGACACTGCCCACCAAACCCTTCCAGTATTTTCTGTTGGTCGTGGGAGAACTGTGTGCCAAGTTTGGTTCAATTCCATCATTGGTGGGGTTCAGAATGCTCTTTGATTGTAGGTGAACTATAAATCCCAGCAACTACAACTCCCAAATGCAAAATCAATTTTTGAGTGAAGGACATACATTGGGTTGTTAGGTGTTGTGTCCAAATTTGGTGTCAATTCCAGGTTTTTTAGTTCTGTTAATCCCACAAACGAACATTACATTATTATATATATATGTGTGTGTGTGTGTGTGTGTGTGTGTGTGTTGATTTGTGGGATTAACAGAACTCAAAAACTACTGGGGGAATTCACCCCAAATTTGGACATGATACACCTAACAACCCAATGTATGTCCTTCACTCAAAAAAATTGCTTTTGTCATTTTGGAGTTGTAGTTGCTGGGATTTATAGTTCACCTACAATCAAGAGCATTCTGAACTCCACCAACGATGGAATTGAACCAAACTTGGCACACAGTTCTCCCATGACCAACAGAAAATACTGGAAGGGTTTGGTGGGCAGTGTCCTTTGGTTTTGGAGTTGTAGTTCACCTACATCCAGAGATCACTGTGGACTCAAACAATGATGGATCTGGACCAAACTCTACACAAATACTCAATATGCCCAAATGTGAACACTGGTGGAGTTTGGGGGAAATAGATCTTGACATTTGGGAGTTGTAGTTGCTGGGATTTATAGTTCACCTACAATCAAAGAGCATTCTGAACCCCACCAACAATGGAACTGAACCAAACTTGGCACACAGTTCTCCCATGACCAACAAAAAATACTGGAAGGGTTTGGTGGGCAGTGTCCTTTGGTTTTGGAGGTGTAGTTCACCTACATCCAGAGATCACTGTGGACTCAAACAATGATGGATCTGGACCAAACTCTACACGAATACTCAATATGCCCAAATGTGAACACTGGTGGAGTTTGGGGAAATAGAATACTGACATTTGGGAGTTGTAGTTGCTGGGATTTATAGTTCACCTACAATCACAGAGCATACTGAACCCCATGCCAATTCTATCGTTGCTGGGGTTCAGAATACTCTGTGACTGTAGGTGAACTATAAATCCCAGCAACTACAACTCCCAAATCTCTCTCTCTCTCTCTCTCTCTCTCTCTCTCTCTCTCTCTATATATATATATATATATATATATATATATATATGTTTCAGAAGTTTCCTCTGAGGCTGTAGTTTGATGTTTTTTTTGGCTTTCTAAGTACCGTACCTTCGTGATTACATAGGTGGAAAGCACATGCTTGTGTCTTGCCAGGGTTAGGCTTCCGGTGGTTATCTTTGTACTAGCTGGAGAGATCTTTCAAGGCATTCGTAAGTTGGATTTCAACTGTTTCAAAGTATTTTGCTTGGGTTGTTAGGCCAAGGTCATCATTTACTAACAATACCCTGTTTTTCTGAGAGTCATTCAACTTTATTGCATGTTAACACTTCTTAAAGCCTTCCTTACAATTAACAAAAAGTGTTTACAACCTTGGAAAAAAGCACAACAGGCGGAGTGGCCTGGATCACTCAGGCAAATTGAGTGTTTCGCTGTCACAGGGACAGTCTGAAACATGTGTGGTTAGGTAGCTTGAAAGATTCTCGTCTGTTTAGATAGCCGAAACTATTTTGTTTTGCTTGGTTTCGAAAGTATGCCGATTATTTCAAATGTTCAGCCTGGAAGGAATGTGAAATGGTTGTGCTGCTGCCTGAGTGTGAACTTAATACCCCTGGTTGGCTTTGCTCTGTGAGCTTTAGCCCAGGAATCCATTCAGACCTCCCATTGTTTGGAGGAGAAATTAATTTCTATTGAAGAGATGCTGTCTTGTTCGCGAGGAGCAGAGAGCAGAGCATGCAGCCGTAATTGAGACAGCCGCAAAGCTCTGAACTCTTCTGTTCCCGAGTCTGGAAACGGACAGATTATTCTCCTTACAAATATCAGAGAATTCTATGTGCAGAGCTTTGCAGGGGAAACAACAAAGAGAAGACCTTGATTCAAGCAGCTTACAGGCTCTAATAATGTGATAGCTATTGGAGATAGATAAGGGATTTGGGGTCGTTTTTAACGTTTTGATGCTTTTGTGATAGAGTTGGCACAAAATAAATGTTAGTTGTACATCCTTTATTTACTATTATTATTTACAGCTTTCATATTCCGCCCTTCTCCTCACCCCGCAGGGACTCAGGGCGGATTACAGTGTACACATATATGGCAAACATTCAATGCCAATTTTTGACATACAACATATACAGACATACACAGAGGCTATTTAACTTTTTCTGGCCGCCAGGGGAGCTGTCGCTTTCACCGTCCATCTGCGACGCTGATGAAGCACTTCCGCATTCCCCGCATGCTTCCCCACTGGAATGCTTTGCTGGAGTCTTCTTTATGGCCTCATAAATCAGTTAATTTAGCCTCCCTACACTTTAAGGTGGCACCTAATGTGGAACTGTTGCTTTCATTGTCCATCTGCAACACTGATGAAGCACTTCCGCATTCCCCGCATGCTTCCCCGCTGGAATGCTTTGCTGGAGTCTTCTTTATGGCCTCATAAATCAGTTAATTTAGCCTCCCCACATTTTACCTAATTTTCCTACTTGACAGATGCATCTGTCTTTCAGGTTGCAAAGGTCGACAACAGGCTACACACAATTGGTTGGAAACCCACTCCAACCCAGGCTGGCTTCGAACTCATGACCTTTTGGTCAGAGTGATCTTAATGCAGCTGACACTCAGCCAGCTGTGCCACAATCCCAGTGTAGAACAGGAATGGGCCAACTTGTGCACTCTCCAGGTGTCTTGGACTTCAACTCCCACCATTCCTCACAGCCTCAGGCCCCTTCCTTTTCCCCCTCAGCTGCTTAAGCATGAGTACAAGACTTTCCCAAAGATCTTAGACATAGTCATGAACATGGAACAAGAGCCAAGAGCCACACAATAACACAGTGTTGCCTGATCTGACTCTTAAGACAACAATCCTTTAATTTAAGGAACATAAAGCCACAAAGTCCAAAATACCTGGAAGGCCGAAGTTTGCTCATGCCCACCCTACAGTATCAAAGCTTAAGCAACTGAGGGGGGAAAGGAAAGGGCCGGAGGCTGTTAGGAATGGTGGGAGTTGAAGTCCAAGACACCTGGAGGGCCAAAGTTGGCCCATGCCTGCTGTAGAGGAAGCTTCCTTGCACTCTGCGCAGGCAACAGAGCATGATGTTGGTTATGGGCCCAGCACTCAGCTTCGGCTGGGAGGGAAAAGCAAGGGGTCTGAGGCTGTTAGGAATTGTGGGAGTTGAAGTCCAAGACACCCAGAGGGCCAAAGTTGGCCCATGCCTGCTGTAGAGGAAGCTTCCTTGCACTTCACAAAGGCAACAGAACCTGATGTTGGTTATGGGCCCAGCACTCAGCTTAAGCGGCTGGGTGGGAAAGGAAAGAGCCTGAGGCTGTTAGGAATTATGGGAGTTGAAGTCCAAGACACCTTGAGGACTGAAGTTGGCCTATGCCTGCTTTAGAGGAAGCTTCCTTGCACTCTGCACAGACAACAGAACCTGATGTTGGTTATGGGCCCAGCACTCAGCTTAAACGGATGGGAGGGAAAAGCAAGGGGTCTGAGGCTGTTAAGAATTGTGGGAGTTGAAGTCCAACACACCTGGAGGGCTGAAATTGGTCTGTGCCTGGTGTAGAGGAAGCTTCCTTGCACTCTAAACAGGCAACAGAGCCTGACGATGGTTATGGGCCCAGCATTCAACTTAAGCGGCTTGGGTGGGGAGGGCCTGAGACTATTAGGAATGGTGGGAGTTGGAGTCTAAGACACCTGGAGAGCCAAAGTTGGCCTATGCCTACTGTAGAGGAAAGGGCCTGAGGCTGTTAGGAATTGTGGGAGTTTTTTTTACAACTAACTGGATTTTACAGTCTCAAGAAAGCAGTCTTTTGGGTGAAACCTGAACCTCTTCCTCCAATGTGTGATACTGAAATGCCCAACCTTTGTTTTTCCTCCTTAATAACCCCCCCCCCTTTTTTCCCCTTGCAGTTACAGGGGTCCATTAAGCGGAAGCTAGACGATGAGGGCTCCCTGTCCTCCAACGCCATGCACGATGCCATCTTCCCAAGTGAGCACAAGAGGCTCTGCCTGGAGGACGTCACTCTTTCCATGGGACAAGGGACCAACCCCGTTTCCTGCGCGGATATGCAACACTCTCCGTTCTCTGCCAACCACGGCGTGTCCTCCATGGGAGTGGCGGGGCATGGGATGCTCCTGGAGAACAATCACATGAACGGCAGTGGCATCGGATCTCCGTTTTCAGTGCCGCCTAACAGCGACGTCGCGCAGAAGGGACCGATCGGTGGCCATTATGACGAGAAAGGGAGCCATATCCACTCTGTGGACCAGGAGCTGCAAGATCTGTTGGAAGAGCTGACCAAAATGCCCGACCCGTCGCCCAACGACTTGGACCTTGAGAAAATCTTGGGAAGCAAATCCGAGGAGCCTCTGGGCAGCCTGGGCCACGCGCAGCCGGCCATAAACAGCACTTCGAAGCCCTCTCCGCAGGCCCCGCTCGTGGACAACCACATGCCCAACAAAGACTTTTCTCCAGGGTGCAACCCAAACAGTGGTGGGTCGCCCCAGATGAGACCTTCTTCAGCCGGAGCAAGTTATCCCGGTCCACCCCAAAACAAAACGGTGGCTTCGCCCATTTCTTCAAACACTCCGAACAAGAGCCAAGCTCAGCCAATGCTCCCAGTCCCTTTGTCCAACATGACTGGTCCTAACTGGCATGCGCAGCAACTCAAACACTTGGCGGCCAGCAAGCAAGTCCCAACGACCAAGCACCAAGGGCCGAGCTGGCCGACCATCGCTTCGCAAGGCCTCTCCCCTCCGTACCGGCAAGGCTCGTCCCCGCACCACCAGCCGTTCAGCCCTCAAAACGTCATGGTGTCCGGGATGGGCAACAGCAGCATCCAGAGTCCTCAGAACTCGTTGCTCTCCAGCATCACGTCCAACAGCAACCCGTCCAGCGGTCCATCCCCTCCTTTTGGGCCGGAGAAGCTTTCCAGCCCGGTTCTGAACCAGCAGCCGTTCAGCCCCCCGAACCCCATCCTTCCCAACAGCATTCCAAACAAGAGTCCTCAGAACAGCCTGGTCTCGACCAATACGGGCCCCTCGCCACCCTACCGGCCGGAGAAGCTGTCCAGCCCGGCTCTGCATCAGCAGCCCTTCAGCCCCCAGAGCGGCCTCCTCCCCAGCATCGCCCCCGCCAGTAACCCCTCCAACATGCAGAGCTCTCTTTACAAGCCCATGCCGGGGGCCCAGGCCAAGAACATGAACATGCTCCTGCAGCCGCCCTCCAACGGCATGCAGCCAAGCCTGGGCAGCGACGGCCCTGGGCCGCAGGACCAGTTCTCTTTCAACAACACCAAGCCCCTCTCCCATTTCAGCTCTGACCCCACAACGCCGCAGAAGATGTCGCCCATGAGCACCAACTCGGGGCAACAGTCGCTCATTCACTATCTCCAGCAGCAGCAGCAGCAGCAAGCCGCAACGTCGCAGCAGTCCCAGCAAGTGAACAACAACAGCCAGTTCATTCAGCAGCAGTTGCGGCAACTCATGCAACCCTCTCGGATGCAGCGGCAAGTGCAGCCCGCCCCGTTGCCGTCACCCGCCCGGCAGGTAAGTGTACGTTGCGCTGCTTCCACACAGGGAGAGGGTGCTCTTAGGACTTACTTCCTCAACAGATGGCAGTACGGGTATGCGGAAGGTACTGGCTTGTTCAGTAGACTCTCCTCTACAGTTCCATTTTAATGGGAAGCCTTAGCATTGAATGGTTGTGTAGTTAAAGTGTGAAGTATGGAACCCTGCGCAGACGGCAGTACTGGTATGTAGCAGGTACTGGCTTGTTCAGTAGACTCTCCTCTACAGTTCCATTTTGGTGGGAAGCCTTAGCATTGAATGGTTGTGTTGTTAAAGTGCAAAGTATGGAACCCTGCGCAGACAGTCGGTCAGTGTGACTTAAGCAATGTATGCGGCAGGTACTGGCTTGTTCAGTAGACTCTCCTCTACAGTTCCATTTTGGTGGGAAGCCTTAGCATTGAATGGTTGTGTAGTTAAAGTGTGAAGTATGGAACCCTGCACAGACGGTCAGTTAGTGTGACTTAAGCAATGTATGCGGCAGGTACTGGCTTGTTCAGTAGACTCTCCTCTACAGTTCCATTTTGGTGGGAAGCTCTTAGAACTTACTTCTGTCTCCCCAAGTGTACATTTTATGCAGATTTGTTTGGGCACACTTCTTTTCTACCCCACACAACAGGAGAGCAAGACTATGAGGTTTTGCGACCCACCTTTCCCATCCTTTTTGGTGACCTCTCTCAAGATAGCATTAGTAGTTGAGAATGAGTTGTGTGTTTCCTACGAGGGTTGAATGAAAAGTAATACCTCCACCTGGCTTTACGACTTCTTAATTGGTTCAGCAGGCTCCGCTGTACTTCAAAGATATATTTTCCCAGCTTTCTGCCGTGATTCTTCACTCACCAACAGCTGCAGTTTTTCAGTCCATTCACTGGTCAGCGACTCAGCCACTTTGCTGCAGTCAGGCCGTTCCAGTCTCCTCCACCAGCAACCTTCCGAGCCAACTGGGTTAACTACGGTTCTGGTCAGCAAGCTTCCAGGTCTGGATCAATAGCAATACCTTGTCTCTATTGGGTTAGGGACTGGGCCCATAACCGATTGACAGAGTTTGGGGGGTGCGCAGCAGAAAGTTTGCTAGATCAACAGACACTGTACTACAAATATAAGGACTCTGCAGTCTTTCAGTTACAAAAGAGACTAAGTTTTACTAAGTACATATAAGACACGTCCTAACACAGCGAGCTACAAACAGGAACTAGTGGAAAACCGAAAGTCTCTCTGCACACCTGCTTATCTCTCTTCACTCTGGCTGAGACGGGATCCTCCCTTCTGTTCCCGGCCAGAACACACATTATCTCATTTCTCTCAAGGTTACATAGTCACAGCCTCAGTAATAAACATTCAGCATAGCATTTCTAATGCACAATAGACTCCATCTTGGAAATACATAGAAACACGTTTGAAAACACATATATAACTAGATTAATCCTGACATGTAATTCCTCAACAGATGGCAGTACTGCTATGCGGCAGGTACTGGCTTGTTCAGTAGACTCTCCTCTACAGTTCCATTTTGGGGAGAAGCCTTAGCATTGAACATCTGTCTCCCCAAGTGTACATTTTATGCAGATTTGTTTGGGCACACTTCTTTTCTACCCCACACAACAGGAGAGCAAGACTATGAGGTTTTGCGACCCACCTTTCCCATCCTTTTTGGTGACCTCTCTCAAGATAGCATTAGTAGTTGAGAATGAGTTGTGTGTTTCCTACGAGGGTTGAATGAAAAGTAATACCTCCACCTGGCTTTACGACTTCTTAATTGGTTCAGCAGGCTCCTGGCTTGTTCACTCTACAGTTCCATTTTGGTGGGAAGTCTTAGCATTGAACAGTTGTGTAGTTAAAGTGCAAAGTATGGAACACATGGTCGGTCAATGCAACTTAAGCAATGTATGCGGCAGGTACTGGCTTGTTCAGTAGACTCTCCTCTACAGTTCCATTTTGGCAGGAAGCCTTAGCATTGAATGGTTGTGTTGTTAAAGTGTAAAGTATGGAACCCTGCACAGACAGTTGGTCAATGCGACTTAAGCAATGTATGCGGCAGGTACTGGCTTGTTCAGTAGGCTCTCCTCTACAGTTCCATTTTGGCAGGAAGCCTTAGCATTGAACGGTTGTGTTGTTAAAGTGCAAAGTATGGAACCCTGCGCAGACGGTCGGTCAATGCGACTTAAGCAACGTATGCGGCAGGTACTGGCTTGTTCAGTAGACTCTCCTCTACAGTTCCATTTTGGCGGGAAGCCTTAGCATTGAAGGGTTGTGTTGTTAAAGTGCGAAGTAAGAAATTACTGGAAGAGTTGGCGGGCATTGACCTTGAGTTTTGGAGTTGTAGTTCACCTACATCCAGAGAGCACTGTGGACTCAAACAATGATGGATCTGGACCAAACTTGGCACATACTCAATATCCCTAATTGTGAACACTGGTAGAGTTTGGGGAAAATACTTGACATTTGGGAGTTGTAGTTGCTGGGATTCATAGTTCACCTACAATCAAAGAGCATTCTGAACCACCAACGATATTATTGCAAACTTGGCACACAGAACCCATGACCAACAAAGATGGAATTGGTGGGCATTGACCTTGAGTTTGGAGTTGTAGTTCACCTACATCCAGAGAGCACTGAGGGCTCAAACAATGATGGAACTGGGCCGAACTTGGCACAGATTCTCAGTATGCCCAAATGTGAGTTTGGGGGAAATTAGACCTTGACATCTGGGAGTTATAGTTGCTGGGATTTATAGTTCACCTACAATTAAAGACCATTCTGAACCCCACCAGTGATAGAATTGGGCCAAACTTCTTACACAGAATCCCTATAACCCACAGAAAATATTGTGTTTTCTGATGGTCTTTGGTGACCCCTCCGACCCTCCCAGGGTCCCGACCCCCAGGTTGAGAAACGTGACGGAGATCTGGAAGGACGTTGTGGGCTTGAGGATCAGCCCACTGCAGTTCCGTTGAGACCGGGTTGCCTTCCATTGGGCGCCTCCTGTTTCTTCTTCACACGAGGGAGAAGTCTAGGCTTGAGGACCTGAGTTCTCTGATATTGCAATTTCAAAAGTCTGCATAGGTCTTGTCCTCTTTTGGAATATTTCTCCATGTTCAGTTTGCACTCAGGAGCAGAAGAGCCTTGCGTACTTGCAAGTCCTAAAAGTCCTAAAAGTCCCAGTCTGTTGTGCCAATAAATGGGCGCAACGTCACAGAGACCACAAAGGAGAATTTCCCGTGTCCAGATCCGTTAGGTAAGCTCCCGATGCCCGGCTGGTTTTCCGAGGGAGGACTTCTAACATTAATTATGCGCTAAATGACAGCTCTGCTCTGGATTTGATATCGCTCGTTAAGCCGCCCCTGAATAACAAGCGAGTAGGCGATGGGGGCATTTCTTTTTTTCGGGGCTTAATGGCTTTTATCACAAAACGTGGATTCTGAGAGCAAACCTCGGAACAACCCGTCGAGACGTAAATGGATTATCACAATTCCAGCATGGCTCACCCAGTTTCCTCTCCGATTGCCGTCGTTTTCTTCCTCGTGAGTGAAGGGTTGGAGCGTCCATTGATTAACGGCATGGAATAATCAACTAATTAATCATAAGCTGGTGTGGATTTTGTCGTTAGGGTTTGGAGACTAATGTCACTTCGTAAAACTGCCTTCCGAGCAGAGGAAGCGACTGGTGTTCCGCTTCCCAAAAAGAAGCAACAAGCAAATCTTGATCCTGGAAAAGAGACTGATGGAGGGGATTGTTTGGAGACAAGGCACGGGTTGTAATAGGTTGTTGTACGTTTTTCGGGCTATATGGCCATGTTCTAGAGGCATTCTCTCCTGACGTTTCGCCTGCATCTATGGCAAGCATCCTCAGAGGTAGTGAGGTCTGTTGGAACTAGGAAAATGGGTTTATATATCAGTGGAATGACCAGGGTGGGACAAAGGACTCTTGTCTGCTGGAGCTAGGTGTGAATGTTTCAACTGACCACCTTGATTAGCATTTGATTGCCTGGCAGTGCCTGGAGCAAACTTTTGTTGAGAGGTAATTAGATGTCTCTGCCTGCTTCCTCTCTGTTGTTGTGCTGTTGCAATTTTAGAGTTTTTTAATACTGGTAGCCAGATTTTGTTCATTTTCATGGTTTCCTCCTTTCTGTTGAAATTGTCCACATGCTGGTCATTCCACAGATATATAAACCCATTTTCCTAGTTCCAACAAACCTCACTACCTCTGAGGATGCTTGCCATAGATGCAGGCGAAACGTCAGGAGAGAATGCCTCCAGACCATGGCTGTACAGCCCGAAAAAACCTACAACAACCCAAATGCTTCTTAACTTGTCTACAATGGACAGGCACCTTGCTTGGAGAACTATTTCTTTCTTTAACAAGGAAAAACTTTTATTAACCTCTCCCAGGCTGTCTACTATCTAAGTTTTGCTGATGTGGGTTCTACTACCAGATCCAAACTGCTTCTTGGGCACCAAGTAGACCTACCAGTCAAGGCTTGTAGATTGGGAATGTTTCAACTGACCACCTTGATTAGCATTTGATGGCCTGGCAGTGCCTGGAGCAATCTTTTGTTGAGAGGTGATTAGCTGCCCTTATTTGTTTCCTCTCTGTTGTTGTGCTGTTGTAATTTTAGAGTTTTTTAATACTGGTAGCCAGATTTTGTTCATTTTCATGGTTTCCTCCTTTTTGTTGAAATTGTCCACAAGTCAGACTACACAGAGAAGCTATTGAAATCCACAAGCATGTGGACAATTTCAACAGAAATATACATATATACACACATATACATGCACACATACATATATACATATACACATACATTCATATACACATAGATATATGCACATGTACACACACACATATATATATATACATATACACATGCACACACATATACATATACACATACACACATTCATACACACGTAAATATATGCACAAGCACCACAAATATATATATGTACACACACATACATATACATGCACACATAGATACATAT